GTCATGGTGTCATTTAAACCTGTGTCCTCAGAGCATTAACTTTGGTCTCTGGATTATGAGTCCACTGATACTATCAGTAAGCCACCATCTTCTCACATACCAAATGTTCCCACATCAGACTATGGATTAGGTGAAGAATCTTACTCCCTCTGCTTTACCTCAAAAACATAAGTTGGCCTCAACCATGGACGACCTTCCCTTCCTACACCGACCTGTTTGCATGCTTCTGAATGAAATTTCCCATTTTTTGTGGGTAAACTTTAGGCGGACCCAAAGGGAACTAAACTTAGACTGACTAAACTTATCTGAAGAGCAACGTAATCTGGATGCTGGACATTTGAACCACCAACTGAAGGTGCTGGAAATACTTAAAAGGTCCAACAACATCTTGGGAGAAAGAAACAAAGTTAACATTTCAATTCTGAGCTTGTTCATCAGAACTGGGAAATTTCATTGGGGTAACAGATTTTAGGCAGGGAGGAGGAAAAGGAAATGAAAGAACAAGTGGAAAGTCCATGATAGGATAGATAGAAGGGGTGCCCATGAGAAATCTCTCATATGATGAAGTGGGAGGATTCAAAGGATAAATGAAAATAAGATTAGCCAGGCAGAGGAAAGTGGGGGAAGACAACTGGTTAGACCTCTATTCAAGATGATGAATGTAAGTGTAGAGGGACTGAATGTCAATGTATACAGCACACAATTATTCTGTTCAACAATGTCCTTTCGGGAAGGAAATCTTCCATCCTTACCTGGTCAGGCTTCCATGTGACTCCAGACCCACAGCAATCTGCCATCTGAAAGAGTTTAGGAGCCACACTGTTTAGGGACAATTAGAGATGGGCAACAAATGCTGCCTTACCAGTGGGAATGGGAAACTTACACTGAAGGACGGCGTCAGGAACGTTACAGATGTAAGTTCAAAGTGCTTGGAAAAGTGAGGAGACAAGTGCAGCCAAAGTTAAACAAGGTCAGTCCAACTGGGTAGATCCAGTGCAAAAAACAGTCCTGTTTGTTGTGAGAGAGCCAATGTGGTGGTGAGGGACCATGAGGTCATGGAAGAAAACTTTGCAAGAAGATCAGGTCAGTGAAGATATGGAAAATGTGTGGAAGCAGGCCATTTGGCCCATTGAATCCACACTCACCCTCCAAAGGCCTTCCCACCCAGAGGGAACCCAGGCAGATGCTGGAGAATGTGCAAACTCTACATAGTCGCCCGAGGGTGGAATTGAACCCAGGTCCCTGGTGCTGTGAGACAGCCGTGCTAGCTACCGTGCCCCCCCGCCCCCACCATGTCAGCAGTTGCTGTGCTGTCTCCACATTTTACAGGTCTGTTCATTAAAACAATAACAGTGCTGCCAGTTTGATGTGAATGTTAGCTTTGGATTTGAAAGAACAGATTGCTGCAAACTCAGGTGGAGGTTGGTTAGGGCGAGCGAGTGAGTGGGTTAAAAACGCTGAGATGGCTGATTTCTTGCTGATTGTTTCCAATGAAAAGATCGAGTGAGTACAAGACTCTCTCCGTGGATTATGGCAGGGGTGTGGGGAGGGAGGGGGGTCTTGTTTGGAAATGCTGTTGAAGGTTTAGTGTGCGCAGGGAAGTCTCCTGATGAATGAAGAGGCGCAGAGGTGATGACAATGATGGAATAATGTCATCATTATGTCAGTCGGGAATATCACTGAATTGGAAGACAGCAAGGGACAAACCTTTTCTGAGCACTTCTCATTTGGGACCAGAGTGGGAAAGGTCAGAGGGGATAAAACACAGAATAAAACTGGAAGGAGAGATGGGGTGGGAGGGATGTGATATGGAAGCAAGATGTGGGAGAGCTGTAAGTCTCAAAGAGTTGTTGAAGCTCACAGTCCTTGACACCTGAATGGAAGTGAGAAAGTTTCTTATTAAAGCACGAGTTAAGATAAGGAAGGAAGTCAATTTGAGAGTCAGAGAAACTCTGAAATAGAAGACAGAGTTGAAGAGAGACCTTTTCACATCCAAAAGACACCATACTTCATTTGTGCTGAGTAAATGACTTAGGATGGAAAGGATCCACAGACCAGGTAAACGCCATGTTTGATTGCTGGTCAGCAGTGAATTAGCTGCCCTGAATCTGGCTTTAATTGGGCTTGGTGCCTGTAGGTGGTGAAGTTAAAATGCAGTCAGAATACCCACTCTGATCACACTGCAGTTAATCGCATCGCTGTTTCTTTGATCAGTGTGTTCTAGGTCTAACTAGAAAGGAGGCCCTACTAGATGACTGGCCAGGGAATAAGGAGAATTAATTGGACAAGTGTTGGTCCAAAGGCCTACTCCTGCTCCTTTCTGTTTCACATTTCTTTGATTCTAAATTCATAAAATCCAAACAAGACCATCAAAATGAGCAGTTTGCTTGACTGACTGCTAAGTCAGGACAAAAGCAATTCACACCAGCTGTCGTTATGCAACACACTTAACATTAACAAAAGCTAAAAAGAGAAATGATTTCTAACCTACTATTGTGTTACTTAAACTATTTCCCTGCAAACCCACAATCACCATTGAGACTGACAGAGGACAAATAGTTTAACACAGAAACTATGGATGGAAAATAAATAGACAGGGTAAACAAAATCCTTAACACCAAAAGTCCAAACCACAAAATGAAAACTTATTTTTGCACAGTCCTTTTTATTTTTGTAATGATAACACCTGTTCTCAATGGACTGATGGTTGTTCTTCAATGCAGTGGCACAATGAAGTGATATTACCAGAATATTTCCAGTGATGAGGGTTTTGAGCTCCAAGGTTGGTTTGTACAAGTTTTCCCTTAGAGTAAAACAGACTGAGGGGAGCTTTGATAGAAGTACAAAATTGTGAATAAGGTAGAGAATGTTTTCCCATTAACCGATTATACGAGGACTAAGGGCCACAGATTTAAGTTTTTGAACAAGGGAATGTGACGATGAACTGTGAGTGGTCATGACCTGGAACTGGTTGTCCCCAAGAAACAGATAATAGCAATGATTTCAAAAAGAAATTAGATCGGCTCTTAATATATCGAACTGGGGAGTGAGACTGATTTAATTGTTCCGCATTGAGATAGCATGGTCTTGATAGGCTGAATTGCCTTCTTCAATGCTGCAAATGACAGTGTAACTCCAAATGCATGTTTGGATGTGGGATTGAGAAAGCAGAATAGAGCTTGGCTGTCATACTCCCTACTGTTAATCTGACTGGCAATGGTACTTGGCTCAGGTATGAAAGGGTTGACATCATCTCAGGAGAAAAGCCTTTGGATGAAGATGGCACCAGCACAGGGAGACTGTTTGCGAGCTCTCTACTGCAGATCTCATTCTCACATTTCTTACAATCGTTCTTGCTTTTGTGCACCTTCTTTGCAGCCGTAACTTTGTATTCCTTGCTCTGTTCAATCACCCTATGATCTTTGTATGGTACAGTTTGCCTGTACTGCATGCAAAATAAAACTATTCACTGTACTTAGGTACATGTGACAATAATAAAATCATATCCAATCAAATTGAAACAGCAAAACTATAGAGGCCTGGAGCATTGCCAGGTATATGCCGACATCTGACCCCTTACTTGGAGATGTGTTCCATTTATAAGCCTAAAACCTACATTTGAATTGGTCATCCAGAGTGGTCAAAGGTTACATTTCCCAAGCAGCAGCAATTCAAACTGTTCTTTTTCACTATCCATGCAGTGATGCATTCAGCCAGAGATAGTCAGGCTTCAGTAAGTCAAGTAAAACACAGACATTTTACAACAGGAGGTACAATGGAAGAAAGAGACATTCACAGCTTTTGGCAATAATACAAACTGAATAGACTTTAATACTGCTAATATGTAAATTTTAAGTGCAACGACAGAGTAGACAAAGTCAGTTGCAGTGACATTTCACAATTTGTTGTTAAATATTTCAATCCAATTTTTACAATCAGCAGGGTAAGGGGAGAAAAAGTAAATACATTTTTTAATAAGTCAGGAAAAGGTATTTCAAAATCAGAGCTTCAATTTTACCATATTGACTAAATTCACATGGACAAAATAACAGCACAATATGTAGGTTTGAAACTTATGCTGCCAAATATCCCTAGAGTATCACATTTGTGGGGAGGCGATGGCCTAGTGGTATTATCACTGGACTGTTAATCCAGAGACGCAGATAGTGTTCCGGGGACCCGGATTCAAACCCCGCTATGGCAGATGGTGGAATTAGAATTCAATAAATATCTGGAATTAAGAATCTAACGATGACCGTGAATCCATTGTTGATTGTCAGGAAAAATGTATCTGGTTCACTAATGCACTTTAGGGAAGGAAACTGCCATCCTTACCTGGTCTGGCCTACATGTGACTCCAGACCCACAGCAATGTGGTTGACTCTTAATTGCCCAGAGGGATAGGCAATAAATGCTGCCTAGCCAGCAACGCCCTCATCCCATGAATGAATGAAAAGAATAAAGATTGTTGGGAATATCTGGGCTGAGTTGGGCATAATTTATAGAACAGAATTTCATAGAATCCCTACAGCATGGAAACAGGCCCTTCGGCCCAACAAGTCCACACCGACACTCAGAGCATCCCACCCAGACCCATCCCCCTAATCTACACATCCCCTAACACTATGGGGCAATTTAGCATGGCTAATCCACCTAACCTGCACATCTTTGGACTGTGGAAGGAAACCCATGCAGACACAGGGAGAATGTGCAAACTCCACACAGACAGTTGCCCGAGGGTGGAATTGAACCTGGGTCCCTAGTGCTGTGAGGCAGCAGTACTAACCAATGAGCCACCTATTATTAGTGTTTTGTCTGTAATTCTCCAACCATGGAGACCCCAGCCCCTTCCACCTTACGCAACACTTGGATTATTCACATGATTTGAGGATTTTCATTAAACATATTGCACATCAATATCTCTCAAAATAGCCCTCTATAATAAAGTAGTTCTACTGTTAAAAATATGGAAATAAGTATCACCTTCACAAAATGTTCACGGCTTTTGTTGAAAACCAACTGCCCACGTGCAGTTTAACTCCTCTTGCCTTCTTTTTCCTCAGAGCTTGATCCAGGCCTAAAGCATGTTACAAGGTAGTCCGCTTTGGTTGGCATGGTTACGGTGCAGTAGAGGACATCTGCGCTGGAATGAAGGTCTCTATACTGCTGTGACTCGGTGACAGAAGGTGGCTATGGCCATCCGTTGGCTCTGTGTTTTGATACATGACCAGACTACCTGAGGAAACTGAGTGAAGAAGCGAAAGGTATTTGTCACAACACTGATATTCATTCAAAACACTCTTTACACCCGTCTCCCAATGGCTTCGAGGTAAAGTCCCTGGGAAAGATTACTGTCTTCAGTTTGCCCGGATAGTAATGTCCAAATGGGTATCCCTTGCACTTTGTAGAACCTTCCCCAAATAAAGTGCACATATGCGATAATAATTGATGCATAAATTAGAAGGAAGTTAAGGAGAAAGTTGTCATGCAATAGGTGACAGAGTTGTGAAGGCAGAAACACTAATTACAAATAAAAATACTCAGAAATGCACTTGATGTACTGTAACCTACCAGGTTACAATCAAGCTAATGTTTCGAGTCCAGGTGACTCTTTATCAGAGTTATTAGCTTGCTCTCTCTCTGTGGATGCTGCCTGATCCGCTGTGATTTCCAGTGTTTGTTGTTTTCACTACAGATTCCAGCATCTGCTGTAACTTGTTCCTAGGTTACAATCAATTTCTACGAAACTGCGTAACTGAATAGCAAACCAAAAGTTTCCACACAGACCCGAGTTATCATTCACTCATGGTCAACCCAAACAAATGCAAAGTTCCTCTGCTCGTAAGTGTATAGGTGCCTGGAGCGTCGGAGGCTGAGGGGTGACCTTATAGAGGTTTATAAAATCATGAGGGGCATGGATAGGTTAAATAGTCAAGGTCTTTTTCCCAGGATAGGGGAATCCAAAACTAGAGGGCATAGGTTTAAGGCGAGAGGGGGGCAAGATTTAAAAAGAACCTAAGGGGCAACTTCTTCATGCAGAGGGTAGTGCGTGTATGGAATGAGCTGCCAGAAGAAGTGGTGGAGGCTGGTACAATTACAACATTTAAAAGGAGTTTGGATGGGTGCATGAATATGAAGAGTTTAGAGGATATGGGCCAAATGCTAGCAAATAGGACTAGATTAATTTAGGATATCTGGTCGACATGGACGAGTTGGACTGAAGGGTCTGTTTCCATGCTGTACGACTTATGACACAAAAAAATTTAGAGGGGTAATTATTACAGACCTAGAGGAAGGTGTTTGCTTTAGACATCTTTCTCGGTTGGCATAGACATGTTAAAAGGCCAAAGCCCTCTTCCCGTGCCATAAATTTCTACGCTTTTTCAGAATGAAGGTAGGATAACGATAGTTTTGGGTTTGACTGACCTGTCTCCTCAATCAAATAGCCTGCCCTCACGTATAAGACCACATGGGTGACCAGTGACTGTTGTCAATCAAACTTGTCAGCGGAATCAACAGTTTCAGGAGAGGTGCAGATGGATGACTATGGGTAAAATGATGGGTTTATTTGTATATTTTGTCTTCTTGTACAATTAGCACCTGGCAGGATTTCACAGGTGTAAGTCATATAGTGGTAATGGTAGAATAAACTGCATTATCGTGCCACATGCAAAAATATATTAAATTTAGTCAAGCTTAAAATTTCCTTTGTGAATCTGTGGGTTAAAACATAATTCTTTTTAACTTGGCCAGCTTTTCCCTGTGTTGTCATATTGAACCAAACAGCAGTAGTTGTAAATATTGTTTGCAAATCGACCAACAGTAAAACAAAGATTGGATGGAAGACATGAAATGATAAATTACAGAGTAGCGAGATAAAACATCAAGGCTAAAAATGTCAAACATGTCAAGAGCTATAATAATAATTAACTTTTAAATTACTATACACATCCATGATTAGACATAGTGGTTAACTAGCGCTGTAAATTATAAAAAGATTATTTCTTAAAAGCCACTTATTGAAAGGCCAAGCGAAATGGCCAAAATGCTGCAGATCTGAGTTAACCTTGAGGGAACTGGTCATGGCTGGCACAGCTTGCACGCTTTGGAAAAGACAGGAGAGAAACAGTCATCCAACCTTCCTACTGCTTATCCACCATTGTGTACCCTGGCCTGAAAACTTTGGCCTTGGGTGGCGACAATATGTGGGCCAGGCTGGATTCCCACCAAAGTCAAATACCAACTTGACTCAGGCTGGAAAAACAGAGCTGTGGTTAAAGAGGCCTTGGTGCCTCTGAATGAGTACTTTTCAATGATTCATGGCAGGAAGAAAGAGTGTTAAACTAATGTTTTTGTTGAAGAGAAAGGAAGAGGAAAAAGTGTGAAAGAGCCTTTTACGTTTGGCCAGTCCAACGTCTTTACTTTTTGGGTAACATTATGCAATTCATTGCTAATTTTAGCAAGGAGATCAGTCTGTACCTATAACGATGTTTGAACATAAGCTGGGTGAAGAGATAAGAGCTGGTTAAGATCATTCAGTCACATAACGTTCGGCAGCTGTACTGTTAAATTGGGAGGTGAGTTTAACAAAGTAGACTTGCTTTTAAATAGCAAAGTGATGAACGTTGTATATACATTAAGGATTCATCTGAGTTAACATTACATCAGTTATTTTAGGTTGTAGAAAATGTGAAGGATTTAATCCTCAGCTACTGAATGTATATTATGATTGACGTTAAATCGGAGGTAACTTCTCCATTTATTTCTGCCCCCTTTCCAAACTGTTTGATACATCTGGTTGACGTGGTGGTAGAATTTTGCCAGTATCTTTTGGAAATAGTAGGGGGGGTGTGTGCTACACTGGGCTACCTGTCATTTCCTCTCTCTGCCTGTACATTAGTTACACTCACTCACCATGTCCATGCTACACTCAGCTATAGTCAAGGACTCAACGGGTATGAGATATCCATGTATGAGTCCACCGTTTTGGGAGAAGGTAGTAGACCCCAAGGATTAAATGACCTGATGAGTACAAGAGTGGGGCCTAAGGGCTTGTTCTGATCTGAACCTAGCCTTTCAAACCTGTCTAATCCGACATACAGTAAAATTTCCAATTACCTGCTGTTGCCCCTGTGCCCTATTTACAAGGATTGTGCATTGGAAAGTCACATGACTTTCTGTTTATTTTACCTCCATTACAGGAGCCAGAAAATCTGCTCCAATTAATATAAATCGAGTTAGCACTGTTACTTCCATTTCACTCAGGATGGTTATTCCAGCTAGTGCACCACATTGGACAACAAATCTTCGGATTCGAACTGAAGTTCATGACACGTACAAGAAGAATAAATAATGGAAGCTGCTTGTTAATGGGTTGGGTTAGAGAGAAGGATGACAGCTTTGTACCAGAAGGGTGCAGTGTTACACTTTGCATTCAGTCCTTGAAGATGTGTGACTTGAAAAATAGTGTATAATTAGTAGGTTACCTACTTCATGATAAAAGGGACCCCTGACGACACCAGCTCTGCTGTACATTATCAATCAATACTACACTTCATTATTTATATGATCTCAGTTCTGGTAGTTACTGAGAAGGTAGGCTTGCTTAGGGTCCACAATGTCACTTCATGAAGGACACAGAAGAAGGCTTTTCCCCCATGTGGTAAAATGTAGCAAATGAGTGGGATGATTTTGCCTCCTCAATACTCCAAACAAAATTGTAAATGTGGTGCAGGGCTGGATGAACACAGCAGGCCAAGCAGCATCATAGGAGCAGAGAGGCTGACGTTTCGGGCCTAGACCCTTCTTTAGAAAAGGGGGAGGGGAAGGGGGTTCTGAAATAAATAGGGAGAGAGTGGGAGGCGGATGATCCTATGATGCTGCTTGGCCTGCTGTGTTCATCCAGCCCTGCACCTTGTTGTCTCGGATTCTCCAGCATCTGCAGTTCCTACTATCTCTGACTCAAAATTGTAAGTGTGTTGTTCTTGACACATGGATGACTGCACTTGAAATACCGAGAACTTCGGTAATACATTTACAACGATTAATTGTTTGATATATTGTTGTCAGCTAAATTTTCAACCTGCCATCCCGGCCCATCATAGAAAAGGCCAAATTTAGTTTCCATTGATTTTGATTGACTGAATTTCCCTCAAAATAATAAAATTGTTGCTTGAAGAAGGTGACTATTGAAGGATATGAGGTGAGGAAAAGAGAGTGGGAATACACTAGGTGGTTTATCTTTGGAAAGCCACAATTTCCCTTGCTAAGAGCCTTAATTGCCTTCAGGGTGTGAATGGCTTTCAGGGTAAAAAGTACTTGGGGTGGCTTTGCATTGGAATAGTTGAGTCATTTTAGTCATCAGTATGGAAATTTGCATCAAAGTTTGTCAACCTCAGAAACAATTCAACAAATAGTTTTCTATTGGCTGTGGAGAGCACATTAAATTGCCACTGAGTCACTCATTCTAACAAGTTAGTCAAAAGACTCAAGGCATAGATCCTTACTGAATCAATCATAGAATCCCCACAGTGTAGAAGCAGGCCATTCGGCCCATCGAGTCCACACTGACCTTCCAAAGAGCATCCTACCCAAACCTACCCCCCTACCCTATACCTGTAACCCTGCATTTCCCATGGCTAATCCACCTAGTTTACACATCCCTGGAAACTATGTGCAATTCAACATGGCCAATCCACATAACCTGCACATCTTTGGACTGTGGGAAGAAACCAGAGCAACTGGAGGAAACTCACATAGATACAGGGAGAATATAGCAATTGCACATTCCCAATTTCCTTCATCCAACATGGGAAGCCTTGCCTTCAGCCCTTTAACATCTAACTCTAAATCTCTCTACCTAACTCTCACTTTTTTAAGGTGCTCTTTAAAACTTTGTTCACTTGTCTCAATATGTCCTTATCTGCCTCAATGTCAAATTTTGTCTGTGTTCAATTGAGCATGTAACCATAGAGTTCGTACAACAGTCTATGCTTTGTAAACATGAACCACTTATTTGTCTAAGTGGGTCCATTTAAATCCTCATTATTCGCTATCTGCTGGTTTCTAGCCAAAGTAAATGTCTTGAAGTGGACTAACCTTTCACATCCTTCAAGAAATTAGTTTATACATGATAGAGTCCTTGCATTTCTGTGTGGAAAATTTCTGCTGATGCCTCACAAATGTATTCAGCAAGGAGGGGAGCTGTATAGACCAGATTGAAACCTGGAGCTGAGCTGAGTTGGT